TTTACAAACGAGAAGGTTTTCATCCAGAGGAACTTGACTTGGCTGAAAGCATGAAAGATGGCAAAGCCGGTATGMTACTGTTAGCATTGAACATATTTCCTACATATGACTATGACTTTGAAACTTACAGAATTCACGACCTCTGTTGAAGTCTAAGTCCAACCAAAATATTTGACATAGCTTTCTATGGGTTTTTCAAAAACTGAGCAAGATGGGTTTTAATTTTTGTTAATTTTTAATCTTAATTATAATCATTAAATTGTAGTTATTTTAAATATTCGAAAATTAATTATTATATTTATACATTTTTATTAATTTTTTAATAATTAATTTTGATTTTCAAATATTTTTAAAGATATTTTTTGAATACTGAAATGCATTAAATGTGTTTAATCAACTTACGTGGTTAGTGAGGTAGATCCCTCTACCTCTAGAGGAGGCAACTGGTTTAACGATCCATGGTCCCTTGTCCTTCATAAAAGCAGCTTTGGAATATATAAGCAAAATTTATAGGTAATAAATGACAAAGGAGAATAGGCAATTGTTCTTACTTAAAGTGYAAATGAACCCTTCAACAATACATTCAGTACTGATTCTACATGAAGTAAATAGTTGAWTGGTAAAATATTTCTTGATTTGAGTGATGCGTCTCTATGTTATGAAGGTTTATACTAAAAATTGGAAATTCCTTTTGGGTAAGTGTTGGAKGTGTGTGTGTCTCAAAATATACCAATACTTACAATAAAATTCATTGTACTCCTCTGGAAGTACAAAGCTGTTGGGGATGTAATCAAAATGCTTGTATCCCTAAACAAAACCAGTAATAAACTAAATCACATTACACTGAATAAAGCAATGTACATTTTTACAGTTCCGTTCAGTGACCACAAAMAATAGTTCCAAGCTGATCGGTTGGAGTTGCCACGCATGATAAAAAGTATAGTRTTCTTATGCCAGAAAACTTCAGCCTCAACTTGGAACTATTATTGGTCACTGAATGGAACTGTAAAGTGGAATATTTGTTTACATCATATCATGTGATTGCAAAAATGCATGTTATTCAGTTGGTAAAAGTATAACAAAAACTTGCTATATATGATGACTTTATTAATTGCAATATACCATTCATCTGTGCATTTCTTGATATTCTAAGTACCTTTAAATGTTGTAATCTTTGTATGTTTTTGTATARTCTGTCTTTTCTAGTCAGCTCATAYGACCTGTGTATCCAAAATTAAAACRGCAAATGAAACTTGATGTRGGGTGTCATACCGTTGCTCACACAATTTTCTATGCTATTTATAGTGTCAGTTGGCATCATAAGAAAGTACAGAGCTGCCTTTTTTCTTGCAGTTTGGTTTTAATATAATTGTTGAATACTGGACATGGTCTGGTAGAGTTAGTTGACGCCCATGCTGATCGTGAACATTGAACACTAGAATTATCATGTAGAGCGCACACTTATTGCTGTGATTTGCATAAAAACTAAGAAGAAAGTTATTCAAAGAAAGTAGAAGATGAAAGTCACTTAAAATTCCTAAATATCAAATGGAAATTCAAGTTATTTAACCCAAAGTTTGGTTGATACGATAATTGCACATGACTGATAATAATATCTACCTTGGGAAATGGTTGACTTTCTGGAAGTCTTGCATCCCTCTCAGTGTGTGGGGTTTGAGGTGGGATCCTGTCCACATGAGGTTAAAACTGGGGCTATTTGGATGGACCTTAAAGAAAGATTAAAATAATATTGCATCATAGCATTGTGTTGCTTATGGTACAGCATACTAGAATATGATTTTTGGTTGCAAAATCTACTGTGACCCAATAGGGGTTTGCATCATCACTAGCCCACACCCATAGTACAGCTTGGACTGCCAGTGGTTAGATGGKAGAACAATAAAATCCCTTTGCACTTGGGGATTGAATTCTTTTTTATGTAAAACAATTGTATTGTTCCTGCTATCTAGGGTGGATCCAGGAATTTTAGAAGGGGGTGACTATTAAAAAGGTTTTACCAGGAATTAAAGGAAAAGGGGGTAACTGTTACTACTGATATACTGAGAAATTTGAGCGGAAGGGGGGTAACGAGTCACTCTCTGACCAACCCTGGATCCCCCCTGACCGTCTAGCATCGCTGCCATCACATGATGGTGCAAAACCTCTATACAAACATATGAAAGGAATAATACGATTATTATAAAACATGATATAAGAATACTTTTTTTTGAACTAGGATATTTAACCTACCTCTCTAAAGCAGTGGGAATTCAAAATACTTCTGACCAGTTTGCATTCCGTCTTGACAAACTTATATGCAAGATGATACTTTTCTGAAATTATTATAGGAAAATTAATAATAACCTGGATAATAAGAGACAAAATTTGAGGCACGCCTTTGCACAAGTCTTCCCATCTATAAATGATGCCAATGCAGTAACACCTWTCTTAACAATATTTGACACCAAGACCACTCTACATGGTTGGGTTTTTGGTTTTCATCAATTCAGACAATAGAAAATTCAATAGCTAGAGCCAAGARCGCACAGTTGCCTGGAATACTCCAGTTTTGAGTTCTCTTTGCTCAGCCTTAGTCTCATGTGTGTGTTATTATATTMAGCTAYTCAACCAAAACCTGKTATTRTTCSGTAGTACGTACAWATATACTATACAATTSACCTTAATAAAAGAAAAGAACACATTTGTACACAATCAAGGTGAAGACTGWGCAAAGGYGAACTTGAAATGRRAGTATTCTGGCTGTTATTTTGGGTCAAATTGATCCAAAAATAACATTGTGTGTATCAAAACTCTTCGAAAACCAACCTGCAACTTGTCGCTGATCTGCTTGCAGACCAAGAAGCAAAACGTGTGGTGAGAAGGCCACTACTGGGATCTTCTTGCGCCCACCTGACCATTTTATAACATTGTAACTAGAAAGATCGTTGAATTTCAATATTTAATAAATAAGTGGAGTTTGCTTCAGGAGCAGGTACAGAATACCCTGCAAGTGATATGCAGCTGTCGGAACTCTTTGTAGAATTCAAAGTCATTGTTATTAAAGATGTGCATATGATTTGCAGGATGTTCTGTAGTTATATCTTGTTTCAACACCAAACCAAAAAGGTCTTCAAAGATAATGAATATCCAGGATATTTGRGGAGACTGGGAGATGAGGTCCAAAATCTTGAGACTTCTGGATAAAGGATTATCCGAGAGAGTTGGCAGCCCTAAAGAAAGGTGGACCTCTCTGGGTGGAGGGCAAAGTTAGGACAATGCGAATTTGATACTTTTAGAAAGATCAGGGCGAATTTCCCTTTGCCCAGGAGAGAACAAACAAGCAACTATACTCTCACTTGATGGCAAGTTTGGGAAACACCCTCATGACCACAGCAGTGAAAGGCTGTGCATTAGCAGTGTAAAACCCCCTTGCTTCCCTAACAAATATTAACTAACAAACTACCTTGTTGTACTAGTGGCTGTAGTAACAGCAACCTCTGAGCTCTCTCCTTCCTCTTCCTCAACCTCAATTTCTGCTGGATTGGCCTGACTATCCAAGTATTCATRCAACGGTCGTGGCATTTTAGATGCTTAAACCAAAGGGTCTGGCCTTTCAACGTTGTTAAATAAGCTTATAATCCACTTGACAGTAATAAATTGCTGCTAAGAAAATCTCTTTACTTTATGATTTAAGTTAATAATGTCAGGCTGTCTTCCATTATAGGAACATCAGATGACAGATAAATGAGATGAAACCTTGATTCCGAGAAATGAATATTGAGGCTTCATAATTTGGAAAAAAGAGAGACAACCGTTTGGATGAAGATAGTGAAGAGAAATCCTGTGTCTGTAGCTCTTTCCTTATGCCTCGTCTTAAATAGAATCCTCAATAACTTTGCTTGACAAATAACAGTATTTAAGTCCATTAATCTTGACGATGAGAGGCAAACTTTCAGAAGAAGTCAAACAATTCCTCCAATAAATTCAAAATTTCCCAAGATAAACAGTTTTTCACGCTCAATGAACCGTCCCTTCAACCAATGCCGCTTCAAATTCAATTACAAATCAACACGTTTTCACTTTGGCTTTGTTCTTGCTTGGCGTAAGTGTGTTAAACTCTATGACATTTTGTAGAAAAAGCTTTCAAAGTTTGAATCACTTGTCTTCGCGGTTTTTGCTTTCCGCCATTTTGTATACATTCCTCGTTGCCAGCCAGTCTCGAACTGCATGCTAGGAAAAATAAAAGATTACTTCCGGTTCGGRAATTGCTTCCGGTATTAGAAACGCTCTGCTGTTTTGTGGATGCTTCCCAAAGAAAACACATASATTAGACAAGACTACTGTGTAGTCTTGTTCTTTTGGTGTGTCCTGATTTCTTGCACAGTAGGGGAGTGGTTCACTTTAGCTCCAACCCTGCATTTGTTATAGTTCCRGTATGGACAAGTCTTTTGACATGCTGGCTATTTTGGATTTTGACATCATCTTCGGAAACTCTTGCAAACAGTTTTAATCCATGACATCAGAAGACATTGATGATGTCATGAAGCACCATCAGCATCTTTGCAAGATTTACTATMATGGAGTATTTTCTTCTATAAAGTCATTTTATTTGGTATTTAATATTTATACATTTTTATATATCCTTGCTAATCAGCAAATGCTTGCTGATTTCAAACTGATGACTGAAGAAGACTAGCCCGATACTCATCCATTTTGCAAGCAATCTCAACTACAGTTGTTTCTGCAGTATGCAAGCTACACTGGCTGTGGATACAGAGTTGGAYGATACACATTTGGTTCAATGTCTGTGTTTTTCTCAACTCTTTTAACAGTGATGGGAAATGGGTTAAAAGTCCTATAGCATTTTGCTGGGTAAAATTAGGATCTGGCAGTGTCTACAAATCCTAGATTTGTAAACCTCCAAGAGAAATAGACTGTCAACAATAATATTTTTCTTAGATGTATACCCTTTGAGTAATCTTTGAGAGAAAAATGACATCATTAAAGAAAAATGTAATAATAATAATGATAATGATAATTAMGTTTTGCCAGGRTAAGCTCGTCAGCATAAAGCTGTTATCAAAGAGTGCCCTGGGGCAAATAAAATATCAACAAAAACAAATAATGAAATTAAATTATATGAAATCGTATAAATTGTATGAAATTAATCTATACATATATATTTCTGTGTGGRTGTTATAAAACTATCAATTAAAAATTTTTTCATTTTCACCCCTTCAAATGTCTTGAGACGAGACTTAAACTGAAAGACTGTATTTAAGTTTTCTATGTTAGAAGGTTATGCGTTCCAAAGCTTAGGTTCACAGATGTGGAAAGTGTGGTCACTATATGTACAAGACATAGAATACGGGATAACAAGTAACCCCTTGGGGGCCAAGCACAAATTGGGTCTAGTTGCATAGGGCATTAACAGATCGCTTGTATAAGCAGGTGCAAAACCATAAATGTATGAAGCAATTTATATCATATTTATATTAAGTATATGATAATAATTATTAACATAGCTTAAATTCATTGTAATAATAAAGAGCTGGTTTATTCTTGGCATTTAATACTCAATGGTCTTAGTTTTCAAGACAAGAATTTGTAAAGGTTTGTTTATTTGTCTTAATAACCACTAGTGGGGTGGACAATTTCATTACAATATTGAATTATTTTTCAAATTTGAACTAACAATATTGTCTTAGTCAAAATTATGTGGAATGTTTTCGTTTCTTTTTCTTTTGCTTTGCATCAGGGTCCTTTCCATCTAACAAGTCCTTCTTTCGTTTGTTAACTTTTCGTTTCTCAAGAATATCACTGTCCCTTACTTTCAGTTCAGCTTCCCGCCTAGCAACTAGCACACCTTTTAAGAGAGTAAGTACTTCCTTCTCTGAGGTTTTGAGCTCTGTCAGTTTTGTATTAATTACAGCTTCAATCGCTTTAACCCTTTCAACATCATACTGCGTTACCAAGGTGACAGCCATGCCACCTTTTCCAGCCCTGGCTGTTCGTCCGACTCTGTGAATGTAATCTTTGGGTGATGCCGGCACATTGCTATTGACAACCAGCTCCACAGCAGGTATGTCTAGACCACGACTAGCAACATCTGTCGCAACAAGGATTTTTACAAGTCCTGATTTGAATTTTGATAATGCTGAGAGTCTCTGTGCTTGTGACATCAATGAGTGCAGAGCTACACATGGAAGGTCTACCTTACGAAACAAAGAAGCCAGAACTTGGCAGTTTTTACATGTGTGTGTGAARACAATGATGGACTTCTGCTCATCTTGTTCTCTCAATAAGTGTACTAGGTAACAGTCTCGCACATTGGCAGGAACAAGCTGGTATCTTTGGTCTAGTTCTGCTACAGTAGCAACACTAGTTGAAAAAATAATAAATGAACAAGTTAATGAACAAATGATTTAAAATAGAAATAAACCCTACATGGAYTCTAAGTTTTGAAACAACATTTTTTTGGTAGTCTCTCCTTTACAAATCTGAKATTTTTTTCACTCCCCCTCCTCCCAAATTGTCCCCCAAGAATTGTAGAAAATAATCAATATGAAATTACCCACATTTCTTGACAGTGTCCTCTAAATTTTGACTGAAAAACATAGTGTTCCTGGCTCAAAATCAACAAAGCCCCCAACACATAAATTATGAACTGCCCCTAAGAAAGATTTCACTCAGCTGTCTGTAACATCATAGTAAGATCAACATTACTTACTCAGATTTCACTTCATAACAGAAAGGTTCYGCTGTTGATATTTTCTTGAGTTCTTCCATTGTGTCAGTTAAGGTGGCACTAAACAGAAGTGTCTGTCTTTTTTTTGGCACCTTGTCAAATATAACACCCAGATCATCGCCGAATGATGGATCAAGTAATCTGTCTGCTTCATCAAGCACTAAGAACTGTATTTTGCCAATATCTAAAGTGTCTGTGCTCTTAAGGTGGTCAGCTAATCTTCCTGGGGTTGCTATGACAACATGGGGTTTTTGTGCCAAGTCGATGGCTTGTTTCATCATGTCCATACCTCCAATGATCACACAYGATTTTAATCCAATTGGCTGTCCAAGAACTTTGAATTGGTCTGCTATTTGTAATGCCAGCTCCCTAAGACCAATAAGAAAATCTTTTGTAAATAATGTTCTTCTTTATAATAAAGCTAAAGTTTCAAGCTCTGGGCTGATCTAAGTCAGGGCACGGCTAAATCACAAATAAAACCCTGAAAACAACCTCTGGGCTGATCAACGTCAGAGCATATTAAACTAAATCACTGGAGTCAAGGAATTAAATTCAAGATCCCAGAGGTGAAAGGCGAATGCACCACCACTACACCATCCTCGATTTCCTTACATTAAATCTTAGCCCATCTCCCTGCATCTAGCTTRACCATTTTCAATTTTTAAGACGATCAACTCACCGTGTAGGAGTTAAAACAACAGCAAAAATCCCGTAAGGATCCTCGCAAAGCTTCTGTAAAATCGGCAGAGCAAAAGCAGCAGTTTTTCCACTGCCAGTCTTAGCACACCCAATACAGTCACGACCAGCTATTATAGGGGGTACACAGTTAATTTGAATCTCAGTAGGTTTCTTTATTCCCATGGCTTCACACTACACACACTTACACACACAGCTATTATAGGGGGTACACAGTTAATTTGAATCTCAGTAGGTTTCTTTATTCCCATGGCTTCACACTGTTTCACTAGCCAGTTATTCATTCCTAACCTTGAGAAGGAAAACACGTTTGATTCATCTTTGTCCGCCATCTTGTTGAGTAATACCAYCGCGCTCAGCATCCTGGGAATTTTCTTGAAGCAAAGCTTTCTGGGTAAATCGCCGAAAGCTTATAGGAGKGTGTGGGAATGTACCTTAGATAATGGGACTCTAATGGATTGGATGGGACTGCATTGGAATGGATAAGATATGACTGTGATAGATTGAATGGGACTGAGATAGATTGAATGGGACTGAGATAGATTGAATGGGACAGAAATGGATTGAATGGGACTGAGATGTATTGGATGTAACCAAGATGGATTGGATGCGACTGGGATGGATTGGATGTGACYGAGGTCAAYGGAATGTGACTGAGATGGGTTGAATAGGATGGGCCTTAGATTTGATGGGACTTAGGTGGATTGGATGTGACCGAGATGGATTGGATGTGAGTGAGGTGAAMAGGAAGGGGATTGAGATGGATTGCATTGGATGGGTCTGAGATAGATTGGATGGAACTGAGGTTGATTGGATGTGACCGAGAGGGATTGGATGTGACTGCAAAGAATTGTAAAACAGTATTTTAGTTGCTTGCTGCTTATTCAGTTTAAGGATTTGATGCTTGATGACCTAGTTAACGGTTTGAACTTCTTCTATTACTGTATCCTCTGTTACACAGCTTTCCCAGTTATCATGCGTCCTGTCCCTGCTGACACATCCTAAMTTTTAATTCTATTTTGGAAAGCCCATCCCAGTATCAAAATTCCCATTCATTTATCCAATTCACATTTGCTAAAATAATTCGCGAGCAAGGAATCTCATAATAAATTCACATATTTGTGTTTAATTCATTTATTATCATACAAGTCTTTCAACTTTTTTTCTCATGAAAAAAACGCGATTTCATAGGATTCCAACATTSTATCGTACATTCCTAGATGCAAGGAAACAGCAACCGGAAGATTATACGTTTTTRAAAGTCATGATTTTAAATATTTATCTATAATTTTGATATGTTTATCAAGGAATTAATGGTCAACTATGCCTTTCACATCCTGTATGTTACAYGTAATGTAGACTTAAAAGGTTGTTATAAGTAAATCGATTCTGATTACAGAACGAGTTAGGATTGGCTCGGATGTGGTGCCATTAATGTCCAACAATATATTGAATAATGAACGATTATAATATCAATAAATAATACAGCATCAAATAAAAATTTGTTACCAATTAAGGTTAGTTATATAAGATTCTAACAATTTGTCCCGCGCCTGTTTAAAGGGTTAGTCAATTAGTGACCTTCTCATTGAATTTGATCGATCACGATTAGACATCTCTGACATTGGCTGCGCAAGCATTGGAGTGCTTCTAGATATGCGTGATGATTGCGACAGCTTTGCATGYTGGGCCAAGTTGTCTCGGGAGGACGACCGCTGGAGCCTCGTCCCGGATGCGCCCATCTTTTCCATCAACTTTTGTCCGCGGCTACTGAGCGTGCGTTTAAGGCGGGAAAATGTTTTCTCCCGTTTTCCATTCTTCCTGTCGTCGTCTTTATCATCAGGGATGCCCCTGGTGCTACTGCTGCTGTTTAGCGAGGAACTGGAAGTGGACAGGCTGTTTGGGTAGGAACCGCTTTCCTCTGCGAGAAGCTGGGCGACTTTCTTCTGTCGTACTACGTCTAGGGCCTACGAAACACGCACATGTTAGAGAATGTCAAAGCGGTCAAATCATTCTAATGTCCCATGCAATAGTCCTAAGAGATAGTACTGTTACTGAGCAAACACATCGGGCTATTAGCCCAATACATTACAAAACCTGGCCTTTCTCAACACATTGAACCAATACACAACAAGAGTCGACTAACTAGACAAAGTTCTCCTAGAAGATGAAAGACTCTATTAGAGTTAAATTGTTACACGGAATCTYATTAGATGGACTATCGCTACCTAATAAATCTTAGAATGAGGTTCCAAAATCGCACATCCATAAGCCAATACTGAATGAAGGAYTCAGGGTGTTTTTTAGTACTTTACTGATTTAGATAAAATTATTTTAAAGTTTTGCTTTAGGTGCTATTGTGCCGGAAATTTAATTTAATTTTTTTAACATGCAGTTTTTAAAGAGTTTAGTCCGGTTGCTGTGTCCTGACCGTGACGCTACGAAAAATTTCGAGCGGATGACTGAAGAAAAACTCTTACAGATTACCCAATAATTAATTTTCAACAAGATAAGAACCACTAGATGATTTTCTGCGGCAAGGACTTATAATTGACAATAAAGATTCCCGTCTCTAGACTTTAGAAGCTATTCAACAAGTTACTGACACTCGACATTAACAACACAACATGCTTTTGTAATAAATAAATAAATACAAGAGACACAAAAGCCACCACCTTTCTCGCCATTTTCAAAATTCACGCCGACAATGGTTTTCATGTTTCGGTAAATTTCAAAAAAGGCGGGAAAAGATCAACTGGCCAATCACACCAAAGAATGTATTTCACGTGACCGACTAAATATTTGGAGGAATCAGGTAGACATAACATCATTCTTGTGTAAAATAAATTAACAAAAACACTATCAAAACTCAAATCATTTGCAGCCATTTTGTTTAGCTGGACTAGTTCAAAATTTTACACATCTGGTGCTAAGATTTAGCGTCATTTGACGTTTCCTGCGTCCGATGAAGTGCTTATTATATTAAACATGCATTTCTATGTTAAACACAATACACGACCTGACAGTGCCATGCATTAATAACTTACAGAAGAAATTAAAGAAAAACGTGGAATATATATATTCTAACCTCAAGCGCATTTTTTTCGGTTAGGAGTTAATAGCAATTTCTTTTCTTCGTTTCAAAAGCGGAAATCATTTTGGTTGGGATAGGGATTAATTGCTGACAAGTGGACTGGAAGGCTGTGCCATCCAGCGAGTGCGCGCAGACTGTTCCATCTCCTCCTCTACGAAGGGTATAAAGATCGTCTGTGCGCACATCCTGTTTTCGTGCACAAAATATTAGTTTGCAGGAAGAAAGAGGCACACGAAGGCAACAGAATCAAGGTCTCGCAAACACGAAGAGAACACAAGTCAAAAGAAAGAGGAAAGCAATTCAACTGTCAGTCACACTTGTGTTCGACATTGTAGAAATAACATTTACATTTACGCTTTGTCGAGATCTAAGCGCACAGTCTTCCAGGGTTTCTGCCGCCTCGAATTTGCCTTGTCTGCGGTAGAGGGCACCAAGATTTCTCAAAGTTGTCGTCACTGTTGGGCTGTCTACTTTAGCTGCCTTGTGCCAACCGCCATACTCTCCGTAAGGGGCGTTGTCTTTGCCGCGTTTACCGTCATCATCGAGTTCACCTGATGTACCGAATTCTCTTTCGTGCGCACGGGTTAGAACCTGAAAAAATAACAAGAATAACTATTTTAGAACTATTCCCTAAATGAGGACACTGTCACTTTGACATGATTGTAATGGGCTTTTCCTGAGTTCAATAAACAATGTGCAGTAGTTAAGGTTTAGTATTAGTACAAACTTTAACATGAATGCTTGTACCCAAGCTAGCCCAGAGTGCACCATGTTTGCTACCTCAGCAAAAGGTCCATTCATGGGCCAGCATGCACCACATGCTTCCTGGTCCCTCTTCTATACAACATACCTGTTTGTATAGGGTTTCAGCTGCCTTATATTTTCCTTGTTTCAAGTAAGCTGATGCCTGAAAATCGAGACAAGAAAAACAGTTATCACCTTCATCTGCCATTTCGACAAAAAAGTCGCTACTTTTGTGGTACTTTTTTTTAAGTTTGCGGTCATTTGTGGTAGTATTTTTTTTAGGGTATTGCGGTGGGA